ACCAGGCTCAGTGTGAGCGGCCATCTGCCAAGACCGACTGGGGTTCAAGGAGACAGAATCAGATAAAGACATAAATGAAATACCTTCCTTGGCTCTCGGGCCCCGGCAGAATAAATAGATGGTGTGACTCATCATCAAAGATTAGAATACCGGTAGTCTTCCCCTGGCGCCAGGACACTGACGGGGGAATAAGCCACAGGGTGTTGGGGACTGAGGATAGTCCGAGAATGAAGGAGGAGATGGGGTGAAGGTGGGTGAAAGTTTGCTTGCATGCGGTAGAGAGAGGTTGGTGGCAGGATCTAATGAAGGGGATCTTGAAAGATGATTGGCTGCAGGGAAGGTTTGGTCCTGAGTTGATTGGCTGGACCTGAACAAGGGACATCGCAGGTGGTTCAGTCGAAGCTAAAAAGGGACTGCCAGGTTGACTTATTACTTAAGCTTAATTTCTTTTTCTTTGTTCCTCAAAATAACATTTCTGACAAGACATGCTTACCTACAATACAAACTGAAGTAATAAAAAAGCCAACAAATGAGGACGTACTTTCTAATGTCGAATTATAAAGGTGTAGTACAAAATGTACCTTGTCTTTAACTTTAATTTAAGCGCAATAATCTCATAGCTATGTACATAGATCGGTGAGCATTTCTTTATAGAGGTTTACATTCTGTGAACCATTTATTTAACTATAATAAAATAAGACAAAACTCTGACTCTTTATCAACAGTAAATAATGAGATCATAGGGTTGCTGGGAAAACAACTCAATAAAACAATCCTCTACCTGTCCTTGTTTACAAGTCAGAGTTAAAGTAGATAAAGACTTATTTGGGTTTTATAGAGTTTTTTATGGTGGGTCAATATTGTAACCTCTCGCTGATGACAGGCCTAATAACATAGACTTCCAAACCACAGAACATATATTTAAAATAAAATCCTATCCTCCAAAAGAGTTTCAAATGTTTGTAATTAATACTTTTGTATGCATTGGTCTTCTAGATGTAATTTCAATAGCATGTAGACTATGATGAATGCTATGATTGCTAATATAAAACCAGCTCTTCTTTTTGGGGGCATATTTTGTTCTGATTATCAAAAGGCAGAAATAGATAAGACCTGATGCCAGTCCCTATGTCAGTGACACTGGTGATTAATTAAAGATTAATTCCATTCTTCCACACCTAAAAATGATGAGTCAATGAGTCAATCCAATTATCTGGGTTTCCTAAGTTAGAAAACTGAACTAATCTGACTATATAATCTGGTTATTATGTCTCTATAAAGTGCCTTGAGATGACATATGTTGTAAATTGGCGCTCTGTAAATAGACTGAATTTAATCGATTTTGATAAGTGGCAGGATGTCTTTACAGCAACTTAAAATAAAAATTCTCCCCAGTCAGAAGTATTTCTTACAAAAGTGTCATGATTTAATTCTAAGATCTGACCAACATGCAGGAAACAAAACAGAGAGACCAAGGGAAGGTTTAACAGGTTTATTGAGAACTGGTAGAGATGGGTCCAGTGCTGCTCTGAACACTGGCGAACTGGGACTGAAAAGTGAAGGGGAAGTGCCTGTGGTTAGTTCAGGCTCAGTGGGAAAATTGAGCTTCAATTTGCAAAAGGGAATAAAGGCAACAGGACTCACATTTCCAGTAAAAGGTGTCTTTCTCTGAATCCAGTCGGTGTGGGTTGTTTCAGTAAATGAGTTGCTTGTTGGAGGGCGGACAAGGTTACCTAGGTTGAGGTGTTTCCTTGAGGAACGGAGGAGCTGACTGCCACTTAGATTTCCAATGAACGGTTCAATTTCCTTGAACGGTTTCTTGTGGAGATGAAACCCCTGCTCAGTGTGAAGCTCATACTATTCCTTGGGGAAAAGTAGATCCAAACCTCCAGTTTGAATCCCCAGCTCAGTTTGAAACTAAGACGATCCTTCCAGGGGGAGAAGGTCCAAAACATCCAGTTTGCAGGATGACTTCCTGCCGAAAGGCAAAGACAAAAACAACAATGTTAAGACTCAGGTTGACAAAAACTCAGTTTGACTCAGCAAAACTCAGCTTGGCTAGAGTACCCAAAACTGGCAAACACTCTGGCGTCGAGGTAGTGGCGGTCAGCAGCTTAAGAGGCAACCGTCCGCAGGTGTGTTAGAAGAACAACGAGAACCAGGCGCCACCTGGTGGTGGAGGGAAAACAAACAAAAACAACCCCCACACAAACTGGATTCCTAACAGAAAGATGTTTCTCAAAGCCTTTATTTATTTATTTAAAGTAATGCAAAATTCAGGTAGATGTATACAGAATAATTCAAATAAATTATGAAATCTTTAAATTAAAACTTAAGTGTTGAATGAAGAACCCTGCACTGCTGCAGTTTTAGCTTCAGTATAGCAGCTGACTTAGACTTTATTGTCATTTTGTACACACAGTATATACGAAAAGACATTTTGTTCAGTACAGATCTCAAGACATTTCCATTTTTAAAGTGCAGCATTGATAAAATGTAAATATAACACTGGTATATGATTTACAGTTTCCCAACATTCAGCGCTTTTTAAAAAAGAAATTGTATTTATTTATTAATACCACATTTTAAACAAT